GGAAAATGCATCCTTTATAAAACTTTTTGCTTGTTCTAAAATGATTTAATCCCGTCTTAAAGAAAATTAAAAAACTTCTTTAAGTTCTAAAAATCAAAACTTAAAGATGATTCAAAAATGAAAGTTATATTTTTTGCTGTTGTTAAAGTATCACATTTTCCGATTCATTGAACTATTTTGATTCCCAAGAATTGAACTAAATAATTTTAGTTATGCAATAATTTTCAAACAACAAAAAACATTAAGAAAAAATATAACATTAATTTAAATTCTATCAATGACAATCTATAAAAGAATGCCAAGTTACCATAGAAACGCGTTTTGATTTTTAGGAGCTTAGGAAAAAAATTCAACTTTTATTATATATAATTTTATTTTTTTTTTCTAAAACGGTATGGAAATTTGGAAATGCATAAACGGGATTAACCATTTTAGGAAAAGGATTTTTTTATGAGGAATGCATTTATCTCAAAATGTAAATAGTAAAAATGTTTTCCCTCTTGTAAAAAATTTCGTTTTTTTATATAAAAAGATAACAAAATTATACAGGGTGAGTTTTAAACAAGTGCAAATGTTTTTAAGGATAGTATATTTCGACCCCAGAAACACAATTATAAAGTTACTTTCGTAAAAAAAATTAAAATTTAAAATTTTTTGAATTTTTTTTACTTGAAAACCATAATCTCTTGATAATATTTTCAGCATTTATATAGGTAGACTAAATTTACAGGAAAGAAAACCCAGAAAAGATCCAGTGGTTCTCAAAATTTAATGAAATTTTTCGTTGGGGAATTTTCAAAATAAAATAACTCGGTTATTTTGGACTTATTTGAAAAACAATAATATATTTATCGAGATTTACTCAAGACTCACCCTGTAAAGATTAATCACTTTTCAAAAACAACCGCTATGTGCGTAAATTGTCTAATCTTTAATATGTCCGTGTTAAACGAATTCTTTATAATTTGCGGTAGTTCTCAGTTAGCAAGGCAAACTCTGTTAAAAGATTAATTAATTATATTCACCATGAAAAATTATGAATTTGGCCACATCTGAAACCACCATTTCAATTTGCGTCAGAGTGCATAGTTTCATAACGAGGCCGGCTACGAGACACTTTTTCTTTTTGCCGTCGTTCCTGTCCCGGCCGTCAGCCGCTGTTTTTTTCGTCGCCCCGACGGTTGGCACTTCTGGTTTTACAAATGGCATGATTTTTAAAAAGCACACACTCTCCTCACACAAAGCGGCTAGCGGTAAGCGCCGCCGTAAATCACTGCCGTTATTGTTTCGGGAGTAGGATTGCGTGATATATTTCCACCACGGACTGTGTACTGGTCGTATTGTTGTTTTATGGAAGACACAGGAGGAGAAAGATGGTTACTTGTTAGAGTTCATTGTTAAAAATTACACCTGAAATTGAAATTAATAATTTTCATTGAGTAATATTAATTGATAATTTATGAAAATTGCCAGTAGTTTTTAGGGTTGTAACCAAGTAGGCTTACCCAAAAGGTAAAAACGGGAATCCTATTACTAAAACTTCGCTGTCTGTCCGTCCGTCCGTCTGTCACATAGGTCTATCTTATAAACCGTTATTATAGCTAGACAGTTGAAATTTTTACAGATAATGTATCTATACTGCCGCTATAAGAACAAATACTAAAAATAGAATTAAATAAATGTTTATAAATAAAAAAGTACTTTCACTAAACATTATCTTTTAAGTAAGAATTTTACATAGAATCTTTCAAGTCCTCGGTGGCCGCGTGGTGAAAGCGTTAGGACTTTACGCTGCTATGACGTTCGAGCCGTAATAAGGCAGGTTCGAATCCTAGTCAAGGCGACTTTTTTTAATCGTATTTTTTTAATTTTTTACATATTTATTTTTACTTTTTATATATTTATTATTGATTAATACAATTTTTAGTAATGTGTTTCTTAATTTTTTTTTAAATTACTTATACGCGCATTCAAAATTTCAGCTAAATTAGGAAAAAAGTTTATAATAATATAGTGTCTAATGTTGTATAGATAATGAATGGTACGGAACCCTTCGTGGGGGGTCCGATTCGCACTTTTTTAATATTTTTTATGCATCAGGTGTTAATGCTTAAAGTAGAATGTATAGGAGGGTGGAAAATCACTGCGACCTCACATTTTTATTGTGTCCCCCTCCTTGAGTTATAACTCATCATAAAGTCTCAGGGCTTTGACAAAAGCTAGTCTCATAGACAGTTTTTCAGAGGTTGGTTCTCCATCTCCGATATTAGTCGTACCAAGGTTCATGGCACGAATGGCTGTCGTCTCGGCGCACTCTGTGATGATGTGTTCTAGTGATTCCCCATTTTCCCCACAGAATCTGCATTCGCCGTTCTTTCTTAGCTTAAATCTGCTGAGGTGTTTCTTGGGGACAGTGTTCAAATTGATCACACATTAATATTACAGTGTAAGATTGTTCTTTCTTAAATCAAGGAAAATTTTTGATTTTTCTCTGTCGTTAGTTTTGAGAAATTTCTTTGAGTGTCTTAGATCGTTGGAAGATCACCTTCAAATTTCTGTACATTCAAATTTCATATACCTATGTAAGACAATATACATAAATATATGAACTTAGTAAAAATAGAGGATAATTTAACGTTTTTCTTTTCATCTCTTCTCATGGCCTTGGACCATTTTTTTCTGTTTTCGCTCATCCATTACTATTTATAAATATCACTAATTACTAATTATGTATTAATTAACACAAATAACTAAAATTTTGACTCGGATTCAACAGAGTTTAAAAGCAAACTGTGTAAAATAAACACGCGTCTGGCTCCACTCAACCAGAAGAACGGCAGGTGACGTCACAGCGGCAAGGCGCGGTAGAGAGCGTTTGCCCGGCCATTTAAATTAACAATATTTAATTATATTATATTAGAGCCATTTCTTAACCGATATCAATGATTTTTTTTTGTTCAATTTGTAATTATATGAACTATTTTTTAAAACAATTATTTAAAAACATGCATTTTCCTCATTTAAGCCAAATATTTTTATTTTCTAAAAGTACGTATAATTTCCGATATTTTAAAATTTTCAAGTTTTATGATTGGGATCATCTTTCTAAAAGCATTGAATATTAAAAAGATAAATAAATGGCAAATTTTCCATGCATACAGTTATGAAAATTGTTGATTTTGACAAAACTACTGATATTTATTAATTGAAAGCCGTAGAATACGAAAATGTAGGCTATTGTGGGCTTACCGTGGTACGGTATTAGATATAAGTTAAATTTTAACCGTCTTCAAAAATCGCTCATGAACAAGATTTTACAAAATCAACACAGTCCTCGTTACAGCTTAAACGCTGCCGAACGCAAGCCGAGGTCAACAAACTTTTCGGCCGCGATTTCGTCTCCCGTTCGCTGTTTTAGTCGATGGGTGATGCGGTTTCATAAACACATTCGTTAGCGGTATAAAATAAGGAATATCGCCGTGGCCTCGCGATGAACGATTTGATAGTAGATAGTATGCGTTCTTCTCCTTCGTTTGAAGAAAATGTAATAAAAGTTTTCTCAAAATGCATTAGGGTGAGCCAAAAAACTAATCTATAGAATTTATGGGTTAAAATAAACCTAATAACCGAGAAAAAAATATCCTCGGAAGGCAGGATTTTTAGCTCTTTTAATGGAAAAAGATTTTTTTACGTGTTATTTAAATGGAAGACTGAATATTCACCGACACCTATTAAAATTGAGCTAAAAATCTTACCTTCCGGGGATATTTTTTTCTCGGTTATTAGGTTCATTTTAACCCATAAATTCCATAGGTTATTTTTTTGGCTCACCCTAATATACATAATAGAAGAAGAATTAATCTTAACTTTAAAATTTAAAATCTAACAAATATGTTCACAGATTTGTTTTTTCTTTACCTAAATTTAGTTCTTTTTTTAAAATTGGTTTGATTATTTTTTTAAACAGTTACATTTTTTGTATATTTTATTGTTTTAGTAAAATATTAATTGCAGTTACTTATTACATCCTCTTGTATGCTGCATACCTGACATTATAAAAATAGTACAATTATGCTTTGGTTAATTAAAGTTACACTTTGTCAACGTTATGCCATGCGCGAAAATAAACTTATTCCAAAATTTAACTCCACCGCAAATGTAAACGTAAATTTAGTATTTTACTGGCCAGAATTACAACTGTTTATGTATATTTATGTACATACGTTCATCGTTCGACAAAAGTTTACGAACAGAATTAACTAGGAATCTCATTGTTATTGTTGAATTTATGCACACGAGGTTTACTTTAGTTTACGTGTATAAAAACATGTAAATACATAGTTTAAACTTGAGTTTAAATTATAAACTGTAAAAAACTCTGATATTATTCACTAATTAATTTTGATCTCAATATACTCGCATGTTTTCGATAAATTAGTTTCTTTTATCGATTCCTTCTCTAACATTATCCCGAAAAACACTTTCGGAGCGCAATAAAACAAGCTCTTCGCCTCCTAATCGACATTTCCCGTTCATTTGTCTACCGGCGGAATTAATGATTGGCTTTGTTTCAGGGCATAAAGGAACCGAAGACGTAGCGCCAGCTCCATCTATAGAGAACTTCCGAGTTCCGATTGTACACTCCAAGATGTCCGCAGCGATCCCGGCTTGAAAGCAACAAGAGCAACAAGAGGAAAACCCGACTGGAGAAAATAATAATTAATACTCCGGGAAGAAAACTTTTTAGTGTTTTTCCGTGTCGCGCGATTTTTCCAGCTACAAGCTTACCGTTTTTCATTAAAACTTTTCTCGAAACGGGCGGAAAAACAAATTTAAATTCAAATTAATACCGCGAAGAAAGTAGGAAGACGAATATTTTTCATCGCCGCGGTATGTTTCCCCATAACGCCGCGGAAGATGGGCAGAGAGGGATTGTGGAGGGGCGGAGGGGTATGTAGGGTTGTTCTGGGGTTGTGTGTATTGGTGGTGGGGGTGTATCAGACTCTTGGTGAGGCTAGTTTTATGAAAAATGCCAAAATTAGTACGAGGATCGTGCAAACGAGGTACGGCAGGCTGCAAGGACTGTTGGTGCCTATGGAGGCGCACAGATATCTCAAACCAATCGAGGTAAGTGCACTTTAAGTAATTTCTAATTCTTGTACAGGGTGAGTCAATAATAGACTAAAGACGTTATCTAATTTGTTTAGAGGTTTACAAAAAATGTTAAATAAAGAAATTATAGGAAAGGTTAAGATACACATTTTACAATTATTATATATAAAATATACAGGGTGCTTCAAAAAAGTGTGGCGGATATAACATATATTTCTTTAAATGTAACACCCTATATTTTATTTTATTGTTAGATTAAAATTCTTGGAATTCTATAACTATTTTATATATAATATTATACCGGGTGCGTCTCAAAAAGTGCCTCACCCTTATAAAATATCACCCGTAGTTTTTTTTCTAGAGTGGCATGGCTTTGTTAAAACCATTAATTTTTAATCAAGGTGCCTTGGAAAAATAGATTTAACCGTATAATGTTTTTCGTATCTTGTCCTGCTCGATTAAAAGATTCCCAAATCGTATTTTTAATCAAATCTTTTTTTATATGGAACAAGAGTGGTTCATTAGCATATATGGAAACACCATTTTTTTATTAATAATTTGGTACCACACTACCAAGTGTGTGTTTCGAGTCAAATTGTCGTTATGTACCGCATGTTACAATTTCAAAAAAAAACATGCGAAAATGTTAAAAGTTGACATACGATATGTCATTCTATTCAGAGTGTCATTTTCTATGGAATAAAGTAAAGAAACACCGAGGGTGTAATTTAAAAATCAAAAGTTATAATAATTTCCGGTGAAACAGGAAGCGACCAAAATCAATTAATTTATGTCAAATAATAACAAACCAAATCTCGTTGTTTTATCTGAAAACATAAAAAGTTATAGGGGTGAGTCACTTTTGATATGCATTTGGTATACCTAAAATTAATAGTTTTTGTAACATTTCGATTAAACGTTATTACTCAGCGTTGCAGAAACATGAATGTCAATGTAATCGCTTGTTTTATAGATTATAGAAAAGCCTTTGACTGCGTTAACCATCAAAAACTTATAGAAGTCCTCAAAACAACCGGAATAGATAGAGAAGAAATTCGATTGATTACAAATCTCTACTGGCAGCAAAACGCAGTGGTTAAAATTGAAGGAACATCGTCAGAAGAAATCACGATTAAACGAGGTGTAAGACAGGGCTGTGTGCTGTCACCGCTCTTATTTAATATATATTCAGAGGCTATCTTCAAAGAAGCTCTAGAAGGAATCGAATGTGGAATTAAGATTAACGGGAAAGTGATCAATAATATCAGGTATGCCGACGATACAGTTGTGCTGGCCGAGAATGAACAAGATTTGCAGAGGCTAATGAATGAATTAGTTCGGCATAGTGAAAACTGCGGTCTCCTCATAAATACCACAAAAACGAAGGTTCTTGCATTCACCAAAACACCTGTGCAGATTCACCTGGATATCAACGGTGACCCAGTAGAGCAAGTGTCTTCATACAAGTATTTGGGGTGTATTGTAAATGATCAATGCGACCCGAAGAAAGAAATTAGAAGCCGCATAGAACAGGCTAGAAAAACATTTATAAATATGAGACAATTTTTCACAAGGTCAGATTTGAGTTTGGAGCTACGGGTACGCATGGTCAGATGCTACATTTTTTCAGTTCTCCTGTACGGGTGTGAGAGTTGGACTCTTGACATATCGTTAGAAAAAAAACTAGATGCCTTCGAAATGTATATTTACCGCCGTATATTAAGAATATCATGGGTCCAAAGAGTTTCAAATGTGGAGGTTCTTAATCGAATGAGAAAACAGAAAGAACTCATGCTTACCATCAAAGAAAGAAAAACACGCTACATAGGCCACATAATGAGGGGTAAAAAGTATGAACTTCTCAGATTAATAATTGAAGGCAAAGTCCAGGGCAAAAGATCTATCGGCAGACGCCAGAATTCCTGGCTAAAGGACATTCGTAGATGGTTTGGTTGCTCATCAATCGACATATTTCGTATGGCTGTATCTAGAATGACGTTAGCTATTTGGATCGCCAACCTTCGAAAGGAGATGGCGTCGTAAGAAGAAGATATTATATTAACTTTAATTCGAAAACTCAGTTTTTTATAAACTTTAGTATTTGGCATATTATACAGGGTTAATCAAGGGGTTGTTTTTTACTCTAACTTTAAAATACCCGGTGCAATAACTTTGTGTGTAAATTTTCCAAAAATATAATTTTGCGGTCAGAACCATGTCTCCTGAGCATTTTATTTTTTGTGTCATGTCAATACATGCCTTGCTTAATTTTTAAGAGTGAAATGAACTTGACACCAACAATTTGCAATTTTTTCAATTATCACTTTTTTTTAAGTTATTTTTCAATATGACAAAGCGGCTTTGGTTATTACTGTGAAACTATATACTACTATGAACCGCCCATCATATTCGACGTTTGGAAAATGCTTGGCAGGAGGGTTAGAGGCCGCGAAGCGTTACCAGCTTCATTAAATGAATTTCGGTTGGTCCTTAAAGAAGAATGGGAAAGAATAACGCTATATGGTATATGCAGCCTCAATGACAGTATGGACGGACGTATACAGGCAGTTATAGCAGCCAAGGGAGGCAATACAAAGTATAAGGGTATTTTTTACAATTTTTTTTCTGCTTGTGTACTTGAGTATTACAGATTATTAGTATTATATTAGATCAGTATTATATTAGTATTATTAGATTTATAGTATTCAATATCGTTAGTGCTGTTATCGTTATTAATGTTTATTAAAACCAGGACTGTATCGTTAGTCTTAGTCTTTAACCAAAGCTTGTATTGACATGAATCAAGAAACAACATGCTCAGGAGTCATAGTTCTGATCATAAAATTATATTTTAGGAAAATTCACGCACGAAATTATTGCACAGGGTGTTTTAAATTTAGGGTAAAAAAACAACCCCTCGATTACATATACATACATACTGCCATTACTAGCTGACGAGTATTTGACACGCATTAGAAGATGGACGCAAGGCGTTTCCTCGGGGGGCTGTTTAGCCCCCCGATTAACCCAGTATAATACCAAATACCAAAGTGTATAAAAACATCAGTTTACGAATTAAAGTTGAAATAATTATAAACAATTTGCTAAAAAAATCATGAAAATAGGGCTAAAAATAACAAAAATATAACACTTAAAGTTTGATCAAAAATTTCTCTGTTGCGTTTTTTTTTGCATCTGAATGTATAGGTATTTATGAATATCCAATATTTGGAATTAAAAAATTTCAAATTTTTTAAATTGGAATACCCTATATATTATCATTTTTTCTGATTGATTTTACAAAATTCTTCAACTTTGATAAGGTACATCACATACCTACTTTTGACAGTTCGACTTATTCTGAATTTTTCAGAATAGGTAAAACCACTAAAACCGCCACAAGGGAGTAAATAAAGACTGAATTTTTAAACGCTTTTGTCGTCAAAATTTAAAATTTAAGTTTTCCTAAGCGAAAATGAGCTTTCGGTTGCGATGGCGTTATTTAAAACCCTTTGTCCGTCAAAAACTAGTTAAATCCGAAACGGAGCACTCCGGAGCGGCTCTGGAAATCGAATCCATTAAATTGGCGTTGTTCTCCATACCACCAATCTATTTATATGCGCTTTATGTTCGTGGAGTGTACAAATTCCTTTTAATGTCAAACTATTAATCAGTCCGATCAGTATGCATTGTTCGGCAGCGGCCTATGTCCATAATCGGAGATTTTACTATATTCAAATAGGAATGAGTATGTTTCCAATTAGAGGGACTAAATATCATAGGCACATTATGTAGTGAATGAAATTGAATTGTTGAAGATTAGTTGAAAATTTAGACTTCAAATCAAATTCAAATGTGTCAAATGAATCGTCAAACAGAACTGTCCATGCCGCCCACCATGCATGAATACATGGATAGCATTATGCTCCTTCCTTAGTCTTCTTATTCAAAGACTTTTATACCTAGGCGTTAAAATGATTTTTTTTATTGTCAATCACGTCGCAAAAATTAATACTTTTGTGACGTTTGAAAAAAAAATATATTTTTTTTAATATTCAAAGTGATAAATCTTGGTAATTTTGACTTATCTGAATAATGGTAAAGAGAAAATATGTTTTTTATCGAGATCTATCTTACGTAGCCTTGAAAATATTAACATTTATTTAAGACTCTCCCTGTATATGACAGTAACCACCCTAAAAATTTGTCAGTCCATATTAAACAAAACTATTATTATATTTCTTAGATTTTTTGTTTTACCGGCTAAAATACAGCATAATAATTTACTTAAACGGTTTATTTCAATGATTTTCAAATTATACAATGTAATAAAATAATTTACGTAAGCTTGTCACTTGCGTTAAGCCTAGAACACATAGAGGCGTTGATAATCGGAATCCGATTTGCCTACTCAATACTATGGATGACAAATCGCCATATGTATGTTTGTTCTCGGAGAGCAAAGCCGATTGGATCTGCTATTTTCAGCAGAGTTCGAGTTACATCGATAATATTTTGCACTCAAATGTAGATAAAAATATATTCTGGAAATCCACAGAAGGTTTTTTGAAATAATTTAATCTAAGTCAAAAAAGAAATAAACATAGGGTCCACAAACACTGGGCATAATAAAGCTACTTTTAAAGAGTAAAACCATTTTGTAATAACTAAGCATCACAGGACAGTTGGTATGTAATATGAAAATAGAGGATTTATTATACAGGGCGAGTCTTAAATAAGTGCAAATATAGTAGATCTCGAAAAAAACATATTTTCTCTTTACCGTTTTTTAAATAACTCCAAAATAACCGAGATATTTTTCTTTGAAAATTCAAAAAAAATATTTTTTGATTAAATTTTGAGCATCACTAGATTTTTTTTAATTTTCTTTTTTGCAAGAATAAACCGGTAAAAAATTAAAATATTATCTTTTACGCTAAATAATTAAATTTTAATCTGAAGATAATAACTTTTTGCATCCTGAATTTTTAAATTACAAAAACAAATTTCATTAA